TCCCCACCCCCACCACATCCCGGAGGGTCGGGACTGCCCGCGGCTGACAGGTGTCCGCCTGGGGGGCGGCACGGGGTTTGCAGCCCAGGTAAGGCCGGAAAACACCCGACGGGGAGGAGAGGCCAGGCGCGGTGGGCTGGGATGGGGGTGAGCGCGACGCCAGGCCGTCCCTCTTCGGCCGGATCAATGCCGAGGTCTCCAGTTACAGCGTGAGCACTGAGCTCGACCAGGAAGGGCAGTCCTGCTGGAGAAGACGAGCTTGCACAGGCAGTGACTTGAAGCCACAGGCTAGGCAGCCGTGGGCAAACTGAATAAAACTAAAAAAAAAAAAGACCGTACCCTTTTATGTAATGATGTTTACTTTGAATTTATATTAGTTCACACAAACACTCCATCCATGCTTTTGTTCCGGCCCTCCGGTCCAGTTTAAGAACCCATTGTGGCCCTCGAGTCAAAAAGTTTGCCCACCCCTGGCTAGGGTATTAAACGTCGGAGAAGTTACACGTGGGGAAATTATGTGATGTTTTACATTCCTTTTATATCCAGGAATGTCTGGTAGGAGTCAAGCTTAGCGGTTGTTACCACTAAGTCATCAGAGGGCTTTTGAGTTGGTGTTTCATAAAAATAATTATCCACCCTTTTCAAAGGCACCAAAACAGAAGAAATACCATTAGAAAGTAGCGTGCAATCCTTCCTTTGTCATGGTGGAAACTGATTTTTAACAAACACACACAAAAAAGCACATTGAACCAACCGGTAAGCATTAGGGATTTTCGGTTTCCATCCCCCTGACCTGGTATCTGAAAGTTACGTTTGAAAAGAACTATTTATTATTTTTACCACTTTGTTTTTAATTTTTCATTCCTATGTATTGCAGAGAGATCTTGTGTTGGCAAGTCATTTTACTTTAGGTATTTGTTGTTGTTTGTTTGTTTGTTTGTTTGTTTGTGTGTTTCAAGCTGCAACTTTATTACACCACCCCAGCAAGACACAGCAGAGAAGAGAAAATGAAGAGACGGAAAGGTGGTTATGCCTTGGAGGAAGACATGAACTGATTGTTAGGGATAGCGTAGTAATCACAGAAAATAACGTGGTGAGAGGGGATTTAACCTGAAAATTGGTAAGCAAAATACAGCACCATTAGGCCTCTAAGGAGTATATTGGTGCTTGACTGTCCTCTTAGTTATCAGCGACATTCATGATTACAAATAATCTTGGCATGTAAAAGCATCACTGGAATGTGCCAGTGATAATGTGTTAAATAATAAAATGTTTTAAATGTTACTTGTCTCTCTGACTTCTTTCTTTGGGAAAAAAAAGAAATAATGTATTCCTCATCTCTCTTAGGCATAGGCTGGAAGAAATGACCAGAAGTGATTGGTTCATACCTTACAGATTTACACCTTCTCCAAAGCATAAATGTTCAGCGTGTTTATGCATCTCATGTTCTTTCCTAGTGATAAGTGAAAATGTATTAACATTCTTTTATATATATGCAGGAATCTAGAGGAAGTACCAACACAAGTTATAAAACCACGTGTCCAGAGTAATGTTTCAACAAGTGGCATTTTCCTTCAAACAAGGATATTGAAAACCCTCTGCTCTCTTCCTTCCTTAATAAATAAAAACAAGAACAAACAAAAAAGCCCTCATGCAGCATTACTTCTCAACCAAGCTTCTTTACAGGAAGTCTCATTTTCACTTACTGTGCTTTTCTCACTGAAATTACATGTTAAGAGGGACCTCCAAATTATTGTGTTAAATGGACAATTCTGAGCCTTTGGACATTCTAAGGCATTTGCCATTTTTAATTATTTAATCTTTTTATCTCCCCCTTTTCTTTGGTAGTATCTCCTTCTTGGCTCTTAAATCTGACCTTTTGCCTGGCTATTGTGGCTCAGTAGTTGAGCATCGACCTATGAACCAGGAGGTCATGGTTCCATCCCCAGTAGGGGGTGTGCAGGAGGCAGCCAATCAATGATTCTCTCTCATCATTGATGTTTCTATCTCCCTCTCCCTTCCCCTCTGAAATCAATAAATATATATATATTTTTTTTTCTTTTTTTTTTTTTTTAATCTGGCCTTTCTTTCATTTGGTCCTCTTCCGAATTGACAACACAGTGTAAATTATACAAATACTACAGGCCTGGTGCACAAAATTTGTGCACTGGGTGGGGGGGTCCCTCAGCCCAGCCTGTGCTCTTGCAGTCCCAGACCCCTCGCTCCTTACTGCCTGCCTGCTCGCTGCTCCTTAGCGCTGCCATGGAGGCAAGAGAGGCTCCCGCCACCGCCACTGCGCTTGCCAGCCATGAGCCAGGCTTCTGACTGAGCAGTGCTCCCCCGTGGGAGCTCACTGACCACCAGGGGGCAGCTCCTGTGTTGAGCGTCTGCCCCCTGGTGGTCAGTGCGCATCATAGTGACCAGTCATTCTGGTCATTCTGCCATAATGGTCGTTTAGGCTTTTATTATATAGACTAGAGGCCTGATGCACAAAATTTGTGCAAGAGTAGGCCTTCCTTCCCCCAGCTACAGGCACTGGCTTACCTCTGGCACCTGGGACCTGGGCTTCCCTCACAGCCCTGGCTTCATCCAGAAGGACATCTGGTCTAATTAGCATATTACACTTATTATAGATAAGGTACTATGGGAGAATAGACAAGAAAGACTTAATCTTGTCCTCATCACTTTAATTTTTTATTAAACATTTAGGTTCTTTGTTAGATTTACAGTGTGGACAATTGGTTCTCTTTCAGAGGAGTATATAGGAATAAGTACTTCAAATTAGTCTCAATCTTTAAAATCTTATTTTTTCCTTCAGGTCTCAACTTTAGTGTCATTTTTTTCAGGGAATCCTTTCCTAACACATCCATAGTTCTCCTAAATTCTTATATAAGTGTCTATCTAACCTGCTGAAATGTAAGTCTTTTTTTAATAGAGGAACTATTTTCCCAATACCTGTGTATAGTAGTGTATACTCAAACATTTGTTGACAGTGCCCTACACCTTTTTAAGGCCTTCAATTCATAGCTCAACCTACTTCCCAACTAGTCTCTTACTTGTTCCATTCAAAACTGATCTGATCATGTCTTCTCCCTGCTTACAACCTTCACTGGTCTTGTTTTGGATATTAGATAAAATATAAACTACTTAACATAGCATAAGAATCTTAGGTACCAACCCATCTCTGCAGGGGTGGGCAAAAGTAGGTTTACAGTTATGACTATGCAAAACGTTTATTCTTGTATTATTTTATTGTATTATTTTCCATACAAACAACTGTAGACCTACTTTTGCCCACCCCCTGTATCTTCCCGCACTTTTTCCCTTTACATGTGCCTTATGTGAGTTTCCTCACCCAGTAATATTCTTCCCGTCTTGCTCACCTTTCAAAGTCATCCCTTAAAACAGATCTTGGACATTAGCCAGCTTTTATCTGCTAGACAATGTGGTGCTGCTCCATATCACACTACTGTAAATGTTTGTTTCCCCTCTAAGTGTGAAACCGGTAAGATTAGGAACTCTCTTCATTTTTAAGTTCCTAGAACTTCATAGAGCTTGACACATAGCAATTAATCTATTTGAATATAATAAATTCAGCAAATATTGAAAGCCAAGTAGGTAAGTTACTGTGGGAAATTCATGCCCTCAATCTCATACAGGGACCATTAAAAAAAATCACTGTAGCCCAGCTGGCATGTCTCAGTGGTTGAGCGTCGACCTATGGACCTATGGACCTATGAACCAGGACATCACAGTTCAATTCCGGTCAGGGCACATGCCCGTGTTAACTGGATTCTCATCATTGATGTTTCTATCTCTCCCTTCCTCTGAAATCAATAAAAAATATATTTAACAAATCATTGTAATGACAAGTTTATATGATAGTCTTCTCTGTATCCTTGGGGGAATTGGTTCCCGGATACCTTCCCCCACCTCCGTGGACACCAAAGTCTGCAATGCTCAAATCCCTAATATAAAGAGGCATATTTGCACATAACCTATGCATATCCATGCATACTGTAAATCATCTGTAGATTACTTATGATGCCTAAGACAATGTAAATACTATGCAGAGTTGTTATACTGTGTTATTTAGGGAATAATGACAAGGAAGAAGTGACACGTTCAGTACAGACCCAGCCATTGTAGCCCTAACTACATAGTACACATCAGCCACAGCCTAACTTTTTAATATTACAATCTGTGATTGGTTGAATCTACAGATGAGGAACTCAAAGATATGGAGAGCCAACTGTACATCAGGATATTGGAAAGATATCGGCCTGATTTGAGATTTCATTCTGCATATGTAGTAGACATTTCTCAACCTAGTGTCACTACCCTAATTTTCTTTTAGGTTGTGTTTAAACAGTCAGCAGCCATGATTGACATAATTTGACTTTTTAAAATATGAATCGCAATTTTTCATTTTTGAAGGTTAACCCCCTTTTTTTAAGTTTTTTACTTTGTTTTTAAGATCATAGCTAATTTGGTTGTAAAATGTGGTCATACACACTAAGGCTTCTGCCACTATGATTATAAGTTAATATTTTTAGTAGTATTTACAGACCTTAAAACTGCCCTACTCAGTTGGTGTGTTGATACTCACACATATTATTAATGATAATGGTAGTTCACTTATGAGTGACTACCTTCAAAGCCAGTGATGAGCCTCTGAGTAATGATGTTTCTAATGCTGCAACACATACAAGAAAATACTTTCAGCATGCTTCATTTCCCAAAAGGTTTAAACCAACAGATTGAGACAAAGCACTTTTTATGTTCTGTTTTTTCATTATTTTGAAGAAAAGCTTCTCAGCAAAATATCCAAAACGATAGCTGGAATGTCTTAAATCAGAAACTGACAGTCCTACAGATACAGATGTGGATTGGATTCAAACAGCAAGTGGTAGTTGGACTTCAGGTGCTTCTCTGACTGTGACCCACATTAAAAAATACATTTTTGCGCCCTAGCTGGTTTGGCTCGGTGGACAGAGCATCGGCCTGCGGACTGAAGGGGCCCAGGGTCAATTCTGGTCAAGGGCACGTGCCTGGGTTGTGGGCTAGATCCCAGTAGGAGGAATGCAGGAGGCAGCCAATCAATGATTCTCTCTCATCATTGATGTTTCTCTCTCTCCCTCTCCCTCTCTTAAATCAATAAAAGTATATTTAAAAGAAAAAAAATACATTTTGCCCTAGCTGCTTTTGCTCAGTGGATAGAGCATCGGCCTGCAGACTGAAGGGTCCTGGTTCAATTCCAGTCAAGGGCACATGCCTAGGTTGTGGGTTCAATCCACAGGGGTGGACTTTATGAAAATTTAAAAGCTCTGCTCTGTGTGAAAAACACTCTTACAAAAATAGACAAGCCACAGGATAGAAATAAGGAAGTGAAACACACACACACACACACACACACACACACACACACACATATATATATACATATACATATACATATATACATATATATAAAAGATACATTTTAACACTGTGACCTGGTTCAGGCCTCTAGCAGTAAAACCATATTTCACGAAAAAGCACTTACTGCTTGTGATGTACTCTGGTGTTTTCTATTCTATTTTTTCCAATGCTAGTAAATTTTCCAACCCACTAAATTGATTTTACCACCCTCTAATGGCCTGAAAGACATTACATTCGATAAAAGGTCCCAAACCTTGAGAATCTTTGCTCCTAGTATTTCCATCAGTGGCTTCCACACGCCCCCCCTTTTTTAGTGGCATCCCTCTAAATCTCAAATGGTAAAGTTTTTGATATGTTTATTTTTAAAAAACATAACCTAACTGAATCCCATAAAACATTAGAGGCCAAATATGGGCTTTACATTTATAAACCTATTTAGTTGCCTTAATAGTCCTACCAGGTTTCTATTAATTTTCAAAGATGATAACAAAGATGTGTAGAAGTTGGAACTCTTAATATATTGATGATGAGATTGTAAAGTGGAGCAGCCACTTTGGAAAACAGATTAGCTGTTTCTCAAAAGTTTCAACAGGTACCACATAGCCCACAATTACACTCTTAGAGAAATAAAAACATGTCTGCAAAAACTCGGACACAAATGTTCATACTGAGTTATTCATACAGTTAGAGTGAAAACAATCCTAATGTCAACTGATCAATGGATAACCATAATGTGGCTGAGTCTCAGAATATTATGTGAAGCAAGAATTTCAGTTCCTTAATAAACAGTATATGGCCCAGCAAGTCTATTCCCAGGTTGTATGTTGATGTTCTTTGTGAACGGAGACGCTGAGGCAAGCTTG